TGTCGCACGCTTCCAGCACCAGGTATGTCTCGCGCTACACTCACAACCTCGTTCCCCAACTCACAGATGCCACTAGCTCCCAAGGACCACCCTGCGCCTCACCCAACTTACAGCAGCACAGCTCGACTATGGCTGCGTGCCCCTTCCCTGCTCGCCCGTGAGAGCGTAGGCGCCAACCAGCAAATAGCGCAGTAGCGCTTGCGCAACATGCAGCCAGCACCCGAATGCCGAATGAGGAGGCAGGCCCTTCCCTATATCGAAGTGGCTTGCCTGCGTCCAGTCCCAGGAAGCTTCCAGTAGGCCCCGGTAGCCTAAGGCTCAGCACGACGAGAGCAGGCCCTGGGCCTGTAGTGGTTGCATGTGCCCACTGCCTTCGGCCTTTGTTTGGCCCGGTACCCGTATCCAGCCCAGGGCCTGCTTCACATTCATTCACACAGGCGGCCCAGGGCCTGGGTTCACCCAACCAACTGGCGCTGTGCAACTGCCTGAATTTCCCTGAGTTGCATAGTGGCCGAAAAACGGCCCTGAGGGCCTCGCCGAGCCTGCCTTCATTTAGGGCGGCCGATGGGCTGCAAAAATGGGGCCTTATGGGGCTCATAGAGGCAATGGCCTCGCATTCCCTCCTCCTCAACTTCAACAGTCCTCTGAAAAGCTCAGTCTTCGATCATAGGGCGCTTTCCCTTCTGCGGAGATCTCTCGTATTGGGTTACAACTTGAGGAGCGGTCTGCATGAGCTCTTCCCTGGTGAACCAGCGGTCCTCCTTCGGATGAGTGTGATGCCGGAACTGAACACGGTACTGAAGCTTCGGTTTTGGAGGACGTCCCCGGCCTGCTGGTCTTGATACCGGCGGCGCTCTGTGATCCACAATATCATCGATGTCCACCTCTTCGTCCATGGTTGGGGGCAGCATTGAGCGACGAGATGGAAACTGATCAGTCTCTTCAAAAGGTGTCAGTTTGGAGGCGTGAAAGGCAGGGTAAGTGCGGAGATGACCAAGTATCCGGATAACATAGGATGGCCCATCCGAATCTGTCCCAACGATATCCAAGACTTCCCAGGGTCCAAAGTACGGGGGCATGAGTTTGCGGGAAATCCCGTGCTCCTGTCCCAGTTCCGACGACTTAACCCAGACCCTATCCCCAACCTGAAATGTAGAATGCCGGCGGTGTCTATTTTCATACTCTATCATTGCAGCCTGCGCCTTCTGCATCTGTTCTACAGCCTGCTGCATCTTCTGTTCATAGCGGTCAGCAAATTCCAAGGTACCTGGTGCAGCAATGGTTTGATTCTCAGGAAGAAGAAAGTCTAGGGGTACAACGTTGGGCTCACCCCGGTGGCGCTATGTACAACGTTGTTGTACAAGCTGGCGATGAGAGCAAGCTTCTCATCCCAGTCCACCTGGTTGGGCTTGATGTAATGCCTCAACAGGTGTTGCACAACGTGGTTCAGTTGCTCAGCCTGATCGTTGGCCTCTGGGTGATTCCCAGAAGTCATCTGCAACTAAGTTACCTGTTCTGCAGCAGCGGCCTTCCACAACTCACTGGTGAACCGGACATCTATGTCACTAACAATAGACTTCGGTAGACCAAAGTCCCTAACCCAGTTCTCTTTAAACATTGTAATCACGTACTCCGTCTTTGCTGTTTTCGGCATGGCTATTAACCTAGCATACTTACTAAATCTATCCACGATGACAAAGATGTGTTGCATCCCACTCTTGCAGGTGATTAGAGTATCCATGAAATCCATGGACAGACTCTCGCCAGGCCGTTCTGGAATCGGAAGGGGCTTTAGCAGCCCAAGAGGAGCCTGAGTACGTGGCTTGTCCCGTTGACAAACTTGACAAGTCTCCACGTACAGCTGGGCATCTCGCATCATCGTGGGCCACCAGAACCGCTGCAGCAAGTTAGTTGTGGTCTTCTTGTACCCAAAATGGTCGGTGGCATCATGACACTCACCTAAAAACGAACTACGCAAAGACTCGCTATTTGGAACACACAAGCGTTTATTCCCTGCCTTCTCAAGGAACAGCAAGCCATTGACCAACTCAAACTCGGCGGAAGTCTTCTTGTCGTTCGCCTGAAGTCTGCGTATGATCTCAGACATAAACTGGTCTTGGCGATAGGCTTCTACCAGAGACTGAGTAACATTGCTCGTCAGATCGAACTCAGTAATCAGCACACCTGAGAAGTCCGGTCTGCGCGACAAGGCATCAACAACCTTGTTGTACTCCCCTTTGAGGTAGTGAGGGTCAAAGTCATATTGCTCAATGACTTCGATCCAACGCTTGAGAGCGTCAGAGAGTATCGGCTGGGTTCTCATCCATATCAAAGTCTGATGATCAGTCCTGAGGATGAAGAACCTCCCAAGGAGATAGTGTCTCCAATGGGTGAGAGCCTTGTACACCGCGTAGAGTTCCTTCTCATAAGTGGACTTAGCGAACTTCTGAGACGACATTTTCTTGGACATGTACTCTACTGGCCTCAACTTTGGCCCCTCCTGCTGCGCAAGCACGGCGCCAATGCCATATTGGCTAGCATCCGTGGTGACTATGAATGGCTTGTCAGAATCAGGAAGTTTCAAGACCTCGTAGTGCGTCAACGCATGCTTCAAGTGTCTGAAAGCAGCCTCGCACTCGTCTGTCCACTCCCATGGGGTGTCAAGGCGGGTCAGATCAGTCAAAGGAGCGGCCACTATGCTATAGTTCTTAACGAAAGTCCTATAGTCGCCTGTCATTCCTAAGAAAGATCTCATCTCAATCACAGACTGAGGACGTGGCCAATCACAGATGCTGGCCACCTTCGCGTCATCGGGCTTCAACCCTTCCGCGGAAATCTCATGACCCAAGTACAAGACACGGGTGCGGCCAAACTCGCACTTCTCACCGTTGATCTTGAACTTGTGCTGTCGCGAGAGGCTGAGGACTTTGTCCAAATGTGCAACGTGCTCTTCGACAGCCTTACTAGAAATAAGTATGTCATCGAGGTACACGATGACAAACTTATCCAAGTAGTCATGGAATATCTGATTCATAGCGTGCTGAAAGGTGCCAGGAGCATTGCAAAGGCCGAAAGGCATCACCACAAACTCGTACAGACCGTACCTGGTCTGAAAGGCGATTTTGTGTTGATCCTCGGACCGGATTGCAATCTGATGGTACCCGGACTTCAAATCTATCTTACTGAAGTACCGACACCCTTGCACTCTATCTAACAAGTCATCGATGCGCAGTAGGGGCTCTCGGTTCTTCACAGTGATGGCATTGAGGCCCCTATAGTCAATGCACATCCTAAGTGTACCCTCCTTCTTCTTAGGTATGAATAGTACTGGAGACCCATAAGGAGAGATACTCGGCCGGATCCAACCCTTCTCTACGAGTTCCTTGAGTTGGCGGGGAGCTCATCAAGCTCGCCTGGAGACATCCGATAGATCCTACCCTTTGGAATACTAGATCCTGGGATAATCTCTATCGCGTGAACGACCTCCCTCTCAACAACCCCTGTCAACTCTTCAAATAGATCAGGGTATTTAGCAACTACTCCCTCTATCTCCGGCAGCATTTTCACCAGCTCGCCTGCAGCAGAGACATAAACTAAGTACGTACCCTCCTGATTTTGCTTATAATAATTGTGGAACGTGGCCCCACACATGCACCCGTAGGACTCAATCAGACTACTAGCTTTGAACTTGTGTAATCTGGCGGTCCCTCCACCTGGCAATGTGTGTTTGACCACTTTTCGGTCCCAGTCAAACTGGGGTTGTGCCACAGAGAGGTAGTACATACCTAACAACATATCCATGGGGAGCTCGTCACTTACTAGGAACGAGACACGATGTCTCAAGTCCCCTCACTAACTACCATGCGCTGTTTGTTGGCACAGGTCGACTCCACAGGTCGACTCAGGCGCTGCACTCGACCCTGTAAGCGCAGTCTCTCAACGCACGCGCGACTAATAAAGTTCCGAGTCGAGCAAGTGTCATAATAGGCTCCGGCCTTGCGGCCGCCAATGACTACCTCGCTGACGAACATCTCACCCTTAGGGGCTTTGACTAAGGCCGTCCAAGAAGCTAGCAGGCTAGATCTAGACCACTCCACCTCTAGCTGGACTCAAACACATTCTTCGAATAGAGGCTCGATGGGTCTGAATGTGCCTGCGGGACGACGCTGGAGTCAGTAGCTTGGGCCATCTCTCGAGATGGTGAGGGTGTCTCCACCACCTCGACCCTAGCAGGAACAACTATTATTCCTACTGGCCCGACGTGTTTCCCGGAGCACTGCCAGAAGTACTAGCAACATTGCTACCAACGGGATGGGAGGATCCCAGCACTTGCCCCATCGTAGGCTGGATCTTTTCTGTCACTTTCTTGTTGCAACACTTGAATTGGCTGTGGCCATATTGACCACAACGAATACAGGCCTGCCGTGAGTAACGGTCTCTCCACCCTCTGAAGCTTCTACGCTGCCTGCCAGTGAACCTACTCCCTCTTGGAAGTTGCCGTCCAACTCGATGGTTGAACCATCGTTGTCGACAAACATGATGCGATCCTTCGCCTTCCAGTTGGGAGGCAGTGTCTTATTTCTCCCATCTGTAGTGGGTGCTTGTCCATGCCCTATCTTTGCCTCAAGGTCTAGGGCCACCTTGCTAAACGAAGGGAAGTTGTGCATATTGATGTTGGCCTCTTTTGCCAACTGGTTCCTGAGAGGCTGAGAAAAGCATCTCAGGTACGAAGTCAACAGGACTTGGGGATCATAGCGCACCCCAGGGACACAGATTAGATGGTCAACAGCGTCGGTGGCTTCCCTTACTGACTTAAACTGCCGCGTGTGCAGTGTCAGGATCGCGCCAGTGGCCCTTTGGGCCTCCTGAGGATCATGCCACCTCTCTTCCACCATCTTCAGGAAGTCCTCCAATTTCTGGGAGGCCGCCCAAGCGCGGAAGTCATGACCATATCCTTGAAGTTGCACTAGACCGCTCAACCATCTTGCTGCACTACCCTCTAGGTAGGAAGCAGCCACAAGCACTTCTTCGTGCGGCAAGGTCAGTTTACACTTGACGTAGACCGACACTGCCCGGCTGGTGATGGTGCTGCCTGAGCACGGCCTGCCAAAACGGCTAGGCTCTGTTGAATGTCCTGAAGGATGGTAGATTTATGCTCCTGCATCTCTATTACGCTTAGCAGGGCCCTCCTAACTACCCTCACATCATCATCCATATTGTTCAGGCCCATCGTCTCTAACTCCTCTATATCTGCCCCCCGCTGCATCCTAGCTCTTCTTCTGATCATCTTTTCCTTTTTGGCTTTTATCTCTCCTAATGCCCGCTGTAGCTGTGCCTCCTGCAGGGCTGCCTGCTGGATGGCGACATCCTCTGGAGTCAACACCGCGGCCTGGCTTGCCATAACGCGAGTGGACTGGCTCACGGTCTCCGCGACCGTTGACCCAACGGCACCTGAACTACTGGCTTGGGAAGTCTGCTGCGCAGAAGTGGTCATGGTTGTAGTGGCCATGGCTGCTGCTGCCTCTCCCTAAGCCGGCGGAACAGAATCCTATCACCCTCCGGTCCTAAAGACACGTGGGCTATCGGGCCTCTACCTGATCGCAAGATCCTGCGGTCGTCCTCTCCGGTGTCCTCCTCGTGGCTCATAGGCTACAGCACTGTGCACTGTCTACAATAGATCATTCAAGATGCCTACCGCAACATAGTGCACAGACCAACTAATTAGTTGGTGGCTGTTTCGGAAAAATATCACTCGAGGTCAACAGGTAAGTCAGATTCCTAGAACTGAAATTATTTTTAGGATGACTAGTCCGCAAACAGAAGCACCAGGAACAATAAACAGTTCTGACTAATGCTATCTGTCAGATGTCAATGGCAGTACATCTAACTAATCAAAACATAAAAATAAAATCAGTTGTGTGGATAGGACAGCATGGCATTTTCTCGAACTTATCACCTGGAATCAACTTCTCCCTTAGTTCCCCTGAGTATCTCTTGACGTCAGCATCCCTGAGCGATCTGGAGAGCGTAGCGTGTCTAAGGGTGTGTATGCCCGGCCCACCCCTGTGCCCCGAGTATCCACTGAGCCGGCCAGCCTTGCACGTATATTTATCCTCGGTGTGCCGTGAGCCTTCCAACCATTGACTGATCCAGGGGCAATTTAACGTCCGCCCCCAAGTGACTCCAGGAATTATTTTACGTCGCAGCCGGACGACGATCACAGTCAATGGTTCCCCTTCCCGTGTTTATTTATAGCGTCGGGTGCTCGTCTTTCCTGTAGGGCTGGCCTGCCCAGTGGTACCCATCTAACAGCGCAGCAAGCCGAACAAAGGACAAGCAGCTAGGCATGCGTGCTCTACTCCCTGTGGGTTGGCATGGTGACCGTGACCCAGTGCTTCGTCCAGGGCCCTTCAGAAAGCTCCGCCCATCTCCACCTAGATGCTCCAAGTGAACATTGCCGACTCTCAAGGTTGAGCGCACTCGACACCTCACGGTGAGAGGACTCTCAAGAAGGAACACAACCTTACGGTAAGAAGTGTTGGAGAGGGAAGATAAGGTTAAGAGCAATGTACCTCAAGTTGCTGCCCCCAACCATAGAGATAATCTCACCAGATGACCAAATGGCGATTGCGATGACCAGTCACTGCATCGGCTCAACCAGCATTATCTCGCCGTTCCACCTCAGCATCAATCGCACATTAGATAGTTCTCCTCACACTGTCCAGACCACATTCACTTCACATAGCCTTCCTGGCGATTCCCTCACCTCCTGGGTCGCCTTCACACTCGTCTCCACCCTCCTCGCTACACACCACGGCCAAACTCGCCCAGCAGACCGCATGTATGTACCGCATAAGGCAGAAGACAAGCGCCAGATGAGCGCAATTGTACCACAGCTCCGATACCAAATTGCAAGGAAGATGAGCAATAGCGAAC